AATAAATGGGTTTTATAAATGCAACTTTTCTGCAGAGCACTATAGAATAAAATACAATATCACTACAGCATTTAACACTGATCTCTGGTTCATTCATATTTCAAACAGTAATGTGCCCATTTTCTCATCTGGGAAGCCTCTTAGGTTTTTTAATACATTTTTATAAATTAACCGGGCACAGATTTAATAATAACTTGCATTTGTATAGCTTTTTTCGTCTCCGAGGATCTTGGATTGCTCTGCAGACTTAACGGTGTAATATCGAAATTACGTGCCGGAGGATCCATTTGCTCTCTGCCGAAGTAGAGCAGTAGTTTGGATTGCTCAGCAGTGCTCCTGGATGCAAACGACGTCGAGGGAGGGAGCTTGAATCCAGCACTCCCAGCAGGAGGAGAACTTGGAGGGGAAGGATGCAGCTCGCTTTATGGGTGCCCAGAGAAAAGTCCTCTGAAAAAGAGGTCACGGGGGGGGGTGTTTAGGAAATCTGCACGAGAGAAACAAGAAGGTGACTGAGTCTGGAAACCAGGATGCTGAAAAACAAAGAAGAAAACGCTCCTTCGCCCATTTCTTGTAACTTTTGGGATGCGTTGTCCCTAGACACAGTGAAGCCAAGAGCATGGAGAGACTCGAAAGACGGGGCTTTTCTGTGCAGAATGAGCTTCTTTAGCAAGATATCCAACAGCAGATAACTTTATCCACCAGGACAGGAAACTTCTAAGCAGAAGCATTAGGTTTCTCAATCAAAAGTATTTAATTGATTGGAAAATTGGATTTGGTGATGTAGGATCTTCTCACATCACCCTTGCTGGACAACGTGGAAACAAAGCGGAAGGTGTTGAGCTTCTCTCCTTGGAGACTTTCATGCTCTTTCAAGAGCTCCCACCCAAGTTTTTTGTTTCTATGACCCCCAGGTGAGATGGGATTTTTCCAACCCTCTGTCTTTCCCAGCCACCATGTTTTGGCATCGCTGACACTAGAATATCTGGCATCGAGGTTGCCCATTCCCCATCCTGGAAAGAAAAAGTTTAGAATGAAACTCATGCGTGTAACATGCAATTAGAAAAAATATTTACGGATAGCAAATTGCCATCTCTGTAGAAGGAAAACATGAGAAAATGGAAACGTGATATTTATGTTAATACAAAGTTTTTAAAATTTAATTTGAGACCAGCTGTTTCTGCTTCTCTTATAAGAGCTTAATTGGTATATAATAGCATAGTTAATTAAATACAAATCAATAGTTTAAAACAGCTAATTGATATTTAATATGTATGGGAAAATATAACTTAGTTGTAATATAATTAACTCAATATTAAATAAGCAATGGAATTGCAATTATGCCTTTACAATGATTATAAAGTTTATCGTTCTTTAATAAACTTGCAATTAGACAGGATGAGCTGAAAAATTATTAAACAGGTATTATTGGGCAATTAAACATTTATTATCATTCCTGGTGGAATACAGCTACACAATAGTACACATTATGATTGTGTTAATAAACCTTTATTACCGCTTTGCAGCTTTAGCCTTTACTGCACCGGTTGATCAGAAATTTAGTTCCCTTCCTGAGTTGTGGGTGGAGGAATTGCCTTGAAAAATTGAGTAAGGAAATCTCAAATTATGGGAGAGTAGTTTGGGCCAGCAAAGAGAAATCTTTCTTTCAGAGGAAACTTGCCCTGTCAGTGCATAAAGATCCCTTTCTAGAAGATCCTGAACTCTTGTTTCTTTTAGTTGGCTTTTGCTTCATCGTCACTGCCTGCCACTAATCACTACAATGTGTGGTTTGAACTTGTTCACGCTTTGTCTGAGTGGCTCTTCTGCAAGTTTTGAGGTGAATTAATGCAGGTACTTTTGAGGGAGTCAAGGCATGCTTCCACCATATATTTTCCAAACAAGATACTTAAGTTCACACTTCCTCAAAGCACCTGGGATGCTAAACTTCAAGCGTAGCTAGTTTTGCTCTGCTGGAAAAAATCAGTTGTCATTGCAAGGAAATGGATGAGACTTGTTTTGGGGGTGGGAGACATGTGTGGGTTAAAATGTTCTGTTTTCAGTAGTTTCTCAGTAGCCCCCCTAAAGCCAAAACATTTAAATGCTGGGTATCTGCTTAACTGTTTTAGCTTTAGGTAGCCAGTAAAAGCCATGAAGTGGTGAGACATCCTTCGGCATCAGAGTCATCTTGAAGTATTTTACCCTTTTAAAGGCCCACTCAAGTACTTAAAGGTGCCTTTAGCGATAAAGATTTTTGCATGTTCTCACAAAATTATGGTATGAATTATTATAATGGATTGCTGTTGTATAGCTCCTTTCATCATGGATATCAAAGTGTTTTATAAGCATTAATTATTGCACCCCTCAGGGAGGCCAACGGAGGATAGACACCCATACTGGTGCGTGCTGATCCAGACTCCAGACGGCTAATAACCCCGATTTCGCCTGGGTCCAGCCCACGTTGCTCAGCCCTGACAATCCCTCCCTGCTCTAAGGGCTAAATTGTGACTGGGACCCTCTTGGGTAGCACAGCCGTTGCCTTGGGCCGTAGCCCCTTGCGACAGACCCTAAAGCACGACCCCCTCCTTGGGAGCATTTTGCTTCGCTGGATGCCTGAGCGATGGGCTGTTCATCCCCCAAGTAGGCTGCAGCTATTGCTGCCTCCAGCACTGCTTGGTTCAGGATGCTCCTGCTGACGTTTGTGGTCGTGGTCCGCGGAGAACGTGGCAGCCCCTGTCACTCCAGGGCTGCGTGCTCAGGAAAAACCCAGCCGGCATCCACAAACAGCCCCACGTGTGCACGCGGGGATGTGCGATGCGGGTCTGAATTAGTAAGATAGGAACGCTGGCTTGCTCAGCTCCACTGTGGGCTGCGCTGCCTTGTGTGATGCTAATCTAATTGTGTTGTTTTAATTACGCTTTGATACCTTGGTGCTTGTTGAAGGCTCAGTAGGAATCGATGCAGTTTTGCTTTCCTATCAATAAAGACGTAAATGCCCGTTTCGCAGGCACGGTGTAAATGGCCCTGGAGGCCTGGGAGGCTCACAGCCGTCCGGCCACGTGCACCGTGTCCGTTCTCACAAGTGGTGTGAAAACCCCGCTCAAAGTTCAGCAAGTTCTTCTCAATTCTAGTTAAAGGACAGTGCTGAGGGACGCAACTTGTGCTGAACGTCCTTCAGCTAAAACCGGCAGCAGTCAGGAGTGTTGGGGTCACTTAGCGCTGGGCGAGTCAACACCTTTCGTGGGGTACCTGTGGTTGTTTTGTACTCTGTGCAGGTCGTGGTAGATCGTGTTGCCTCTATACTGTGGAGCAAGAGGGCTGGTTTCCATGTTTGCCTCCCAGAAGGCAGATGGTTGCTGTTTACCCCTTCCTGTTAATTAGGACTCTGATTCAAGAAGCCGCTGAGGAAGTGGCTAGTTATTTGCCTTGATTTGTCTAATCTTTAGACATCTACCTCTGAGTTAGTCACCACCTTCTCTGGCCAACGCGAGAGTTGCAAGCACCCCCAAAGCCATCCTGGGTAGGTGAAGTGAGTCACTGTCTGGAGGTTTCTCTCTGAGGCATTACCTTAAGTGGCAATGTGGATTTAAGGGAGCAATTAAATTTCAGCTTACTCTAAGCATCTCAAGAGACTTGCGTTTGTCTGAGCACCCACTTCAGTGGGATTGGATGTGTGATTTATTTTAGATAGTCGCTGATATCCTCCCTGGTGGGAGCCTTGGGACCGGGAGCTGTTGGTCCTTCGCCTCTTGCAAGGTGGAGCCCTATTTAATGTTAGAGAAAGTGCTTTAACTTGCGTGTACCCTGAGTGTCCTGGGGTCAAAAGCTGTCTGTTTTTCCTGGGTTTAGGCTCTGATTCTGCCTCATGATGTGCACAAGAGGAGGATGCTAACCTCTCTGCCAGCATGCCATGGCAACTAGCAATATTAGGGGGGGATACTGTATATCTGGGTATATACCCGTATAAATTTGGCTGTCTTCCCTGCACATCACATCACACTGCAGTGAGTGACTTTCCTCTTCCTCTGGACACGGTCCAGACCTGCAATTCAAACCCAAGTTTGCATCCTGGTACTAAGAGCCCAGGCTGCCAGGCAGCGCTCGCTCCGCTCTAAAGCTCTGCTCTCAACCCTCCCGCTTCGCTGCCTTCCCCTCCTGCATGCAGCACAACTTCATGACAATCCCGAGCACTCCTTCCTCGGCGGGGGGGGGGGGGGGGAGGGCTCGAAAGAGTCCGCAGCCACATTAAGTAAACATCAAAGGGGCTTTGATCAGCAGGGCTCTGCAGAGCACAGAAGCCCCCGAGGAGCTCTGCAGGTCCGCAGGCAGCATCAGGGACATGGTACCTTAATTTTCTCCACTGCGACGTGGGAGAATCTGTTTGAAGAACTAGAGCTTTTTGCCACTCGGAGAGGCGCACGGGGAGAGCACGCATGCACGCAGCCTGCTTCTGGAGAACCCCATGTTCAGATCTCTCTCTGTTACCGATAGTCAGAAAGCCCCATTAAGAAATCGAGGCATCAAAGGCGTGCGCCTCCTCAGGCTCTGGTGCTTTACTGCTTGTAGGGTCACTTGCTTGCTTCCAAAGAGCACGATGCCTCAAGTCAGACTTCTCTTCCCTTCTGAGGGCCGTTTCCCATTTTGCTTCGCTGCTGCTAAGGGAGGAAGGGATTAAAAGAGTCCACATTGCTGCAGCACTCGGATGCGGAGGAAGAGGCAGCTCGTTCCCTCTGCTTGGTGTAGAGGAGCGCTGAAGAAACAGGCAAGGGAGGGGATGGCGACCCTCTTGTCTCTAGACAGCCGGGGCTGAGCGGAGCAGCACAGCAGCAGCTGGGAGCGGTGGGTTTGGGACCCCCAGCCAAGTCCAGCTCTGTGGGGCTGACCAAAGGCTTCAGTGAGGCGCCTGCCACGCTGGTGCTTTACGGAGCTGCTCTCTGCAGCATCGCCCCCGTGCTTGCTCTTGTCCCCAGCCTAGTCTTCTAACATCCCTCTCTCTTCTCTTGCAGAACTGGGGCTCCCAGGAAGAGGATGCTGCCTAGTACTGGGGTTCATGTACAAGGAGAAGTACCGCAGGATGACTGAAGGTGAGCAGTTCCCTCACCTCCCGTTCTTCCTTCCTCTTCAGCAATCTCATTACAAGGGATGTGGATGCGCTCCTGCTAGGAATGTGCTAGGTTCTTGTTCACACCGAGGAGAAAATCCTGCTTCCCCCGTGATCTACGAAACATCTTAGCGGGCACGAATGTGGGAGGCGCCCTGCATGAAGCTGCAAGAGAAGAGCTGGAACTTTTTAGTTCCGTACATCCAAAACTCACTGTCTTTTCCTACGGTTGTCGCATGGGAAGCTCTTCCAGCAATTGCTGCATCTGGTCTTTTCGTTCTAGTTGGGTGGTGGTGCCTTACTGTGACACCTCAGAGTCCCGAATTCCAGTGCCTTTGCACCTCTCAGAGGTGCTGGTCTGTTGCTCATCAAACCCCTGCACTCTAGCAGAGATCTCGCTAAAATTTCCCTATTTTATATTCTAGTCATCCCTCAAGTACTTTATAAGCATTGATTAACCCATAGAAATATCATAAATAATTACGAACCATGATAACTAAACAAAAACTATTTATGCTCAGAAGATTTGGCATCCTTGCTTCTGGTAACTTCGTTGCTTGGCTTCTTCTTCTGGAGCGAACGCTGGTGCAGCACCATCTGATTAATGCTGGATGAGAGAAAGATTAAAGGTCCCAGAACCCTGGGAGGTGGGAGGGTCCTGGGGGTGTGTCGAGGAGAGTTTGGCTGCTGTGAGGTTACTCTGGGGACTGCAAATGCGAACCAAACATGGATGTAATCCTTTTTGGGGGCTTTGATTGGAAATCATTTGGACAAAGGGTGTGATCGCTTGCCCCCCGGTGCTTCCTTTTGGTTGCGTGGGATGGTGTATTGCCCAGCAGTTAGCTGCAGGGGTGTCTTGCAGGAAGCTTTGTCTTCACGACACTAAAAGGTGCATCAGCTTTCTTGGGGTAAAACTCTCATATAGGCAAGTTTATGACTCAGATATCAGCTAGAAGATCAAAGGTTCCTTCAGTTTCCCAGGAGCCCTGATACTGAGCTGATAACATGGGGAAAAGTACTTCACAAGACTTCACCTCGCGCTTGTTAATTACCACATGCTTTTTAAACATTGATTAGAGTATGTTTTTAGCAGGAAGGGGCTGCCCCTTGGGAGGACGGATGGTAGAGTTTCGGCCGAGTGCTGTGAGAAGGTGCAGTTCTCTCTCGCAATACCTTCCTGTCCCTCGAGGCTCTTGGAGAGGCTGCCTGGGGCTGCACCCGGCAGGCAGGAGCACCCTGGGGATGCTCGCGGGGTGCCCGGGAGCCGGCGGGACCGTGGGCACACCGGGGCATCCTGCCAATCCTTTGGGATGGCTCACAGAAGCTCCTGTCCCCGCATGGATTCAAAGCCTGCCTCTGCCTACGAAGCGAGCCCCCTTTCCAGGCTGAACGTGGCTTTGTGCAGAGAGAACAAAGAAACATGAAAGGCCGGGAGTAAAGCCTTTGTGTGGGAAAGAGAACAAAGTGTGCCTGCCTGATGCTGTGCAGCCAGCGAGTTTCTGGCCCCCGCAGGCTGCAGGACCATTACGTTTAAAGGTACAATCTGCCAAAAACAAAGTCAGGGGATTTCCATGGCTACAAAGACCGCCTAGGACTTGTGTTTTCACTAGGGGCGGTTCTGGAGGACAATCGCTGGCCTCCAACCTCCTGGGTTTTTGGTGGATTTTAGTGCAGATCCACGCTGTCTGGCGGCTGAGCCAAGTGGGGTTTCAGATGTCTGGTCATCTGCAGAGGTACAGGGAAGGTATTTCCTCCCCGAATCACCTGAGCCTGACTCTTTGGGCCAGTTACCTTGCAGGGATAAGGAGAGAGACAGCTTCCCTTTTATAGTTTTGCCAAGTGAGAACTTTTCCTCTTTTTCTTGCGTGATGGTGCTAATGAATAGCCCTATTAATAATTACAGGGTAGCTGAAGGAACTGAAAGCAGAGGTAGGTAGCGGGGCAATGAGATAATTATGAGGTGTGGGGTCTCCATCGTAGTGGAAATGGGTAATTACAGGGATCATTAGAACCTTGCTGTCACTCAACAGAGACATCTACAAAATGCGCTCGTAGGTAGAGAATCGCAAGAGAACTTAGATGGAGGCCTTGTCAGTGTGGAGGAATCACTCTGTGGTGGGAAAGAGTTTCTCTTGGCTGTCCCCATGGAGAAGGTCCAGGCTGGGCGCTTGCAGTCCAGCGCAGCAACCTCTCCCAGCGGGGTGACATAAATATTGTGGCTTACAGATGCTCTGTGGCTGTGCCCAGCAAGGGTCTTTGGTAGCGTGATGTTGTTTGTTCACCAGCTGGCAAGTGATGGATGTCCCATAACACACAAGTGATTGCAGATGCAGGCTCTTCTGGCTGATCTGTCCTTCAGGGCAAGAAGCCAAAATAAGTGTCCAAGAACTTGCCTCTGTCAGTGTTAGTTAAAACATATCAGTTCCTTGTATGTATATATATATATATATATATATATATATATATATATATCAACCCTTGTCATGAAAAACAGGTCTGGGTGAGGTGTTGGTGTCTCACCCAGCTGCAAAGCAAGAGAGCAGCCTGGGCTGCTGGGGATGTGCAAGGCAAAAAGGCTTTGGGCACCCTCCTTGCAGCTGGCATCGCTGCACGGCGTCAGGTGCGATTGCCTCGCGCTTCACGGCCGCTGCGAAGCCCGTGCCAGGAAAGGTGCTGGATTTGGGCACGGTCTGGGGTTCCACGTGGGCTGGGGGGAGAGGGAAGGTGCTGCTCCAGCGTGGCTGCTGTATGCTCGTCCCTGTGCTGTGATTGACGATTGCCTTGTCTGTGTGCCGGGATCGCTGTTTGGTGTGCGGCTGTGAGTTGTAGGGTGAAATTAAGCTAGTGACAGTTGTAGACAGAGGGAGAGGTAGAGCTGTCTGTAATGACGGCCTTGCAATGAAGACTCTTTAGAGTTAATCCTCCACCATCTGTCTTCATTCCACTAATAACCCACTCAATCAGATGCTGCCGACTGTTTGTTAACATTCAGAAACAGATACATAATCGGGAGGGAGCGTGCTGTTTGCTCACGAGGGGCTGGGTTTCTCTTCGGGAGCAACAGCTCGGTGGGAGCCACGGTTTGTGGACTGGGTGTCCCACGGCACGTTCCGTGCGATGGACGTGCTGCTGAGGCTGGAGAGGAGCTGAGCTACCCTGCTTTCCACAGGGCTTGTGCTGCCCTGGCTCGAGGTGATTTTGGAGTAGAAAGATGGTCTCTATGAGGCGGGTCAACTCGGTCCTCCAAGAACAAAGATCTCGAGCTAACCTGAAAACTGGGGCTTTGTTTTTCTGTTCCCTCCTCCCCGTCACATTCAGTTCTCTTCCCTTCCCAAGGGGCGTGCTGTAAAATCTCTCCCTGCTCACCTACGGCGCTTTGTCCCCGCCTGTCCACAGCTGCAGGTCCCAAGCTGTGCTCTCCTCTGTGGTGGTCAAAAGCAGATGTCAATCCTGCTATTTTTCTTCTTCTCTCCTGCCTTTGACTTCTTGCCAGATCTAACTCGAGTCATTAGCAAGCGTCGCTGCAGCAATTATGGCACTTTTTGGCTGCCATTCATAAAGCTACTAACGGGAACGATTAAGCGCTGAGAGGTGTCAGCCTTCTCCTTCACCACCTGTTCTCGGCAGCCGCCGGCTGCTGGAAGGTGCCTACAACCACCTCCTGGCACGCAGGGGAGCAGGGCAGGGCAGCTCCTTGCCCTCCCTTTCCAGGCACTTGGCTGGCTCCCGTGTCCTCGCATGCAGCGGGCAGGACAGGACCCAGGGCTCGGCTTTGTCACTGCGCGGAGGGGAAGGGTGGGCTTCATCCTCGCGTCCACGGTCGGGTGGTGAAAGCAGGCACGGCTGGGAAAAGGGACAGAAGAAGGACTCGGGGCAGCATCCTTCTGCTGGACCAGCTAATGGTTAATGATCGAGGAAGGACAAACTCCCTCTCTTCAGCTCCCCGCTCGGCTTATAGCCCTGCTTTTGGCTTTGCTCACATCCGCGCCGTCGGCTAGGGGCAGGCACGAGGCTAAAATCTGTACCTTAATCTGCAGGCAGTCTCCTCGGTAGATGCAAACACTGACTGGTGTGCCAGGAGAGGGGCTTGTGCCGGAGTTATCTCTGGCAGCAGCCGCCCTCCGTTTGCATCACGAAGCAGAACCCGGTCTCTAGTTTTCTGCATTCGAGGTGTCGCCCTTCACCATACAAAGCACAGCAACACCAGCAGCCATCACTGCAGAGCTGCAGCTCCACGTAGCAACGAGCTCTGCTCTCTGTTTAATTGGGAGAGGGTGTTGCTTAGCAAATCATATTTGCTGGGTAATGTCTGCAGAAATCCACTCAGATAAGGGCTGTCCGAATCGAAGGTGGGTGAGTTTTCTCTAAAGGCCACGTGGACTTTATGGGGCTGTTGCTCAGCATAAGACAAACCTTGAGTTTTGGGACTGTAGATGGCAAGAACTTAGAAGTTTTGTGGTCTGAGCTGCAAATCTCACCCTTGACTCTTTTGTTCAGAAGGTTTGGGATCTTACTTAAAGGCACCAGGACTAATGCAAAGCTCTGCTATCTTTTGTTGGGGGAAGATGAAGATGCCAAAAAGGGACCATCCGTGTACCTCAAAAGTGGCAGACAGGTCAGGGTTGGCCCAGAGGGGCCACGACCATGGTAGCCTTCAAATCTGCCCGTTTCTGGCTTGTGTGATCAGCTGTGGCTTTCCGCTCAAGAACTGCGAGCAGCGTAGCTCTGGATGGGGTTTTTTTTTGTCTTCAACTTCAGCATATCTCTAGTCTGCAGATAGGTTTCAGTTCTGCTAGACGTGGGGAAAGAATTGTGTGTGCATATGAAAGCTGTTTTTATGGCTTATAATTATCTCGTACCCATCCTTAGAATAATTATAGCTCCTCCATTATTAATAATTGGAATTCCAGTCCTTGTCATAGATCACAAAATGGAGAGGAAGCTCAACCCAGGGTTTGCATAATGTACCTTGGTCTAAATTGA